AGGTTTCTAGGTGCACATCTCACGATGACGTTTAAAATTTTATCACCTAGTTTCCAGGGAACTGAGGCTTTGAATCTATATTTGAAATACCACCTGAATGGGTGAAACATATTGGTATTCCACACACAGCCTCCTGCTGTCATTCCACTGTTGGCATGGGACAGTCTTCACCAAGACTTAGAAAACCTCATTCGATATTCCTCTCTGGAGGATCTGACACTTACTGTGAATTCTGCTCTTCAACTTAAATACCAGTGTCTGTGGCAGGCCAATTCTATCATTGCAGATACAGCATCCCTCAGGCGAGGTCCAACCTTTCTCTTGCAGTGCACCCAGGGATTAGCTTGACTTCCCCTAAATTCTCTCCAGTGCACAGTACGAGCTAATCTTTCCTGTAGGAAGCAGGAGATGGGGTTGCCATGACAACAGAGCACATTCTAGCAGTGGGACCACTGAGATGAGCTGAAAAGACGACAGTGAAACATGCACTCAGCCTTCCTCCAGGGCTATGGGCTTCTTCCTCCAGGATTTAATTCCCCTGCAAGTTTACTGACAGGCTAGGAGGTTGATTAGCTCTGTATTTTGCTAGGGGGAGATTACTAGTTAAGAATATGGTTGAAAAATCATAGCATTATTTAATGAAAATGCCATTCCTGCTTATGTTGAATTGCTGATTTTATAGGCAGTGTGGCTGCTTTTAAAGCACTTCTTGTTCATACACATTAGTCCTACACTTAGTCCATGCTACCATCTCACTGTAATAAAGAAAGCAAGCTACAAGCCAAGTCCCGCACTTCAGCTTTGTTTTTCCAGCATATTAGGCATGTGGTCTTTCTTTAATGTTTTTACACTCATACACATACATGCACACAAAGAGCACAGTACGTCTGTGTTTGAAGCTCAAAGGTTTCTGCTAGTGGGGGAGGGGATACCGAGAAAAGCAAATCACAGCAGCCACGTGTCTTACATAAACGACAAAACAGCCACAATAAGCTTTGGGAGCTCTGTTCATCAGGCAAAAGAAAATTGAGTGATCCACACTGTAAATACCAGCTATTTAGTGCCCCAAAATAGTGCCTGGATCCTATCCTTTAAACACTTTTATTTCTCGATGACAATAATAGCTTTTATAGTTCCTGCATTTCAATTATTTACACATTTTTAATTGTTCAGGCAAATTTTCAGGCAAAGGGTTTTTCTTTGTGTTTTAATATCTCTTATAAAACCACACAACATATTATTGTGCTAAATTCCTGGAGGCTGGAGCCTGACTGTGTCTTCTCCTGTTATTTCAGACACAAGTGTGTCCCAGTGAGCTTTCAGATTAAAGGAGCAGCAACTGAGAATGTAAGGCTATTCTCTAATCATGTTTTAACTGTCTGTTTGCATAGAACAGACTCCTTCTTCCTTTGTGCCTTTGCTCTTGAGCATGTAATGTGTGTGGCTGCACACAGGACACTCCATCAGCAGGTAAGATACACCAGTCTCCTCAGTACCTGTAATGGCTTCACCTATCTGAATACTAAAAGATGCAGATGAGTCAAATCTACACTGTCTAAACCCACTTCTCTCTCTGGAAATTTTAATAGAAAAGAACCTCCCTAATGCTCTCTGACACATGAAAGAGAAAGAGCCCAGAGGCTGTATGTAGCCAGAACTCCTATGTGTACGGGGAGTCAGGGGGATGGGCAAAACAGTGTGCAGCTCTGTAACAGCTTTCCCTATGAAGCAAGTTACAGGACAGCTGGCAGTTAGTACTGAGACTAACTTAGTCTCAGTAAACCTGAGAGCCTTGTAAGGCTGAAGATAAAGCTTTGGTTGGAGAGGGAAGATGCCTTCTCAGAGAGGCACCTTGCTGCCTGCAATTGATAAGGAAATTGTTGGGAACTCTGGGGGAACGGGGACATGAGGAAGCCCAGGTCAGGATCTCCAAACTATCATCAAATTACTGGTTTTTTTCCCTGGTATTACACTAATTGCATTTACAGTGAGAAGCCCACAGACAAAACCCAATCACACAAGTTCTTTTCTATGCCTAGGCAACATTGCACTTCTGTAACCTCGAAAAGCAGCTCAGCTGTTGCACAACCCATTCAGTTTTACCTTAATTTGGATCTTAGCATGTGTTGGGAATATACATGAACAAAACAGTATCCCTCAGAATCTGCTGGCTCTGACTTGTCCCACAGATGCTGCACACAGTAAAGCACCTGTATTTGCTATCATCTAATTAGTGTTAGGTTTTTCTTTTTTCTTCTCCACTTTTCCACTCATGTTCTATGCAACTGGAGAAATGCCAAATCATGTAAGCGACATATGGTTTTGCTTTTGAAAACATCCTGCCAGAACCCCCAAATACTGGAAAAATCTTTGGCTAAATAATTTTCAGCTCAAGACTCAATATTTTACACCTTGAATTCCACTGGGAACACTGATATTTGTAGGCATGCAAATTGTTTTTTGAGGAAAAGGGGCATATAATCAGCTGTTGAATGATGGTACAGATTTTTCCTGTCATATGCTGCCTCCTCACAATGTGAAAAGAACAGTTAACAGCAAGATGAATGCTGTGAAAATAGCTAAACAACATTTATGGTTAATGAAAGTGAAGTTCTGTTTCTTTTTTTTGTTGTTTCACAAACTATGACTCTAGAAATCAGTAAATATTGGCCTTAGAAAGGCAAACATTTATTTCTTAATGTGAAAAACTTCCATTTAATAATAAACACCAAATCTAGTGTTTCTGGAAATTCAGTCTTTCGACCAAGAGCAAGTACTATGTTCCTTTAGTTGTTGGATAGGGAATGGACTCCCCTGCCAGCACCCTGAACAAGTAGCACCCTATTACATATGCATACATATTATGTATAGCCCTGGGTATACTCAGGGAAAGGCAGCTGTTTCAGTGAACATAGGTGAAGCTTGCCAGAACAAGGAACAAGCTAAAATGAAAGGTGATCACATGTATTTAAGCCATCTACTCTAATTAAGGAACAATATGTATATGTAATACACTAGGAGCAAAGAAGCATGCTTCTAAGGCTCAAGTAGTGCGACCAGCTCTAGCTGTTTAGCAAAACCAAGCAGCTCCCACTGCTCTCATTAGCTTGCTCTATCTTTTTCAAAGGTAGATTCTACCTTTATCAAGGTTGGAGTCTGAATTTTGCCCTTCATTTACCCTCTTGCTTGGGAGAGAAATGAGAAGTGAATACACAAGAGCCACTTTTCCTCTCAACGGGACACCCACAGTTTAAAGACAACACGTAGGAGCTCAGAAGACACATCCTGTCCTATGTTTCTGCATGAATTCACGAATGAGAAGTCTGAGGATTTCACGTTAAAAATAAAGAGGAAAAAAGAGAGGAAAATAAAACTATGCATTGGTCCAACATGAAAAGTTGACATGAGAAAGTGAAGGTTTCTGTTCTGATTGCATGTCTCTTTCTTTATTATGCTTAACTGTGAAATCTCCACTGAATTCTCATTTTTATTATATAGTTTCTGTACATAGCTGTTCACAGATACCTTTGAAATCTGTGGATGAAAGGAAATACCAATCTCCTTTTTAAGAACTATTCATTTGAGATTAAACAGTGCTAAATGCTGAGCCCTGAACAAAAGGTTTAAGCACGTGTAAGTCTTGCTTGAAGCAGAGCAACAGTGCCCAGTATTTTACAGGATCAAACCTGTCATTTGGGGTTTTTAAACCCCTAATTCCCTATCCTTGCCTTTCTCTTTTTAAATATATCTTTGTAACTCAGATCCTGCTTTTGTCAGATGAATTCCATACGCAAAACACTAACTGACCTTCAGTCCTAGTGCAGTGATAAATCAAGAAGCCTACACCAGTGCAAGATGTACCACTACCTTCTGAGAGCGAACACTCAGTTTTCATATTCTAAGTACAGAACTAATGGCTCATAGCTACTAATCAGAATACACTTAAATATGTAAATGAGAAAGAAAAGTTTTGGGTTTGCATTTCAAGAGTGTAAAAAAACCTGTTCTTACACACAATCTTGTTTTATTTTTGGAAATGTAAGATATAACTAAGCATTTTCCTGCTGTAATTTTATCCATTGGATCATTCAGGTATTTCTGGTACCTCTTAGATTGTTTTCTGTAGCTGTGATTCCTCTCAATTCACTTACTTTATTCAAGACTTACAAACAGGAGTAAGTATTAGCGGAATCAGTGTTCAGGAATTTTGAATCAAATTATTTGTCAAGTAATGACATTTCAGGAGATATGATTTTTTTTAATAGCAAAATTATAAAAATGACTGTGATTTCATTCTAATAGCCAATGTAATTTATACAGAACAAATAAAACAGCCTGTCTTGTAAAATTGTAAAAAATTTAGTTTTCTTAAGCAAATGCTTCGCATTTTGGGAATGTGATACCAAATCTAGAAAAGTGCTCATTGAAGGGATAAGCCACCCCATTGTGACATATGGGCAACATTAAACAACATGAAACTACATTATTTGTACACTGAAATTATAAATGCAAGATGAGGTTAGATGTTCTCAGTAAGATGTTCTTTTTTTCAGATCTTTAAGATTACTTTATCAGATTGGGAGTGGTAGAAAAGCACAGCAAAGATAAAAATACTTTTTCAAATGTCTGTTGTTCATACATCTTCCAAAAAATGAACTTCATAACTTTCTTAAACAGGCAACGGGGTGGGAATGACTAACCTCCAAAGGTCACTTCCAAATTCAACTACACTGAGAATTACACAGGCTCCTTTGTGACAGTAGTCTCTGGTGAGTGAGACCAACAAGGAAAGATTATACCGTACTTACAGACATTCTCATTCAAAAAAGAGGATATATAGAAAACAACGATGACTTTGAAATATATATTGTTATTTCCAGCAGAAGCCCTGACCACTTGCCTGGTTTCAGCTGGGATAGAGTTAATTTTCTTCCTAGTAGCTGGCACACTGCCATGTTTTCGACTTTAGTCTGAGAACAATCCTGATAACACCAATGTTTTCAGTTGTTGCTAAGTAATGCTTGCCCTGATCAAGGACTTTTCAGTCTCTCATTCTCTGCCAGTGAGGAGGGCACAAGAAGCTGGGAGGAAGCAGAGACAGGACACCTGATCTAAACTAGTCAAAGGGGTATTCCATACCACAGCACATCATGCCCCGTATAGAAACTGGGGGGAACTATGCAGAAGGCCCACATCACTGCTCAGGTTGGGCTGGGTATCGATCAGCAGGTGGTGTGCAATTGTACCGTGCATCACTTGTGTTTGTTATTTTTCCTTTCCCTTTTTAGTTTTACATTCTCTCCCCTTGTTATTTCCCTTATCTTTATTATTATTATTGGTGGCAGTAGCAGTAGTTTTTCATTATACTTTAGTTATTGGGCTGTTCTTATCTCAACCCATGGGATTTACATTCTTTATATTCTCCCCCCCATCTTGCCCGGGGAGAGGAGGCGAGCAAACGGCTGTGTGGTGCTGAGTTACCAGCTGGGCTTAAATCACGATACCACTCTCCTGCAAGAGGGCAAGAATAGATATATTCTCCTGACCCTGACACCATGTTACAGCTACAGGCAACAGCAACAGGCAGGAGAACAGAGTGAGCATGTTTCCCTGGCCTGCCCTCCCACCATCCAGCTCTTTTCAGGTCAGACATCTTGAAAACCAGACCTTGCATATCTTGTCTATACTGTCATCAGCCTTGTGGACCACACTAGGAAGTAGTTTCTGGCCTTTGGACCAACAACAGCAGACTGACTTCTGTCCACGTTGCTTAGGACAGAAGTAGCTTTGTTCACACTTCGTAACACTTAACCATCTCATCTGCATGGCAACCCCAAATAAACCAATTGATGAGAGAGACATAGCACAATTCTCCATAGCAGTGAATGTAGAAGCACAACAATGACATTGCATCGAGATTTCCAAGAACTTGGAGGGAACTTGGTTGTCTTGTTTCTGTAAGAAGCCTGAATGTGAACTGCATAGATATGGGGGGTATGATCTGGGGACCAGACCTGGGTCTGAAAAATGCAAAAAGCCAATAAATAGCTTAAAGACTCATTCTTGCCTTTTAAAGTCCTTGAAGGATTTCCCCTCCATTATTTTTTGTAATATTTTTTAACCTATAATAAGCATTTGGCATCTACCACATCCTTTGTGATGCACAAAAAATATCTTTTACTTATTCTGATCATAACCTGTGTTAATTCCATCTGATGACCCATATATTCTGTATTATGAGAGACAACAAATAATTTGTCCTTCTCCATGCCATCCATGACTTCACAAGTATCAGTCATGTCCTCTTAAATCATCCTTTTTTCCAGGTTAAAGAGTCATAGTCAATGTAGCTTCTTCTCTCATTGACACATTTTCATATGTTTGATTTTCCTTATCACCTTTCCTGCACCTTTTCTTTAATACAATTTTTGGAAAAGGGAGGACAGAATGACACTGTAGGTACATAAATTTACACAGGGATGTGACAGAAATATAAGAATTGCTATGCTGGGTCAGAGAAAGTCCATTTAGCCTAATATCCTGGTTTCGACGGTGGTGAAAAGGGGGATGCTACTGTTCACTGGTTTGTTGTCTATTTATTTCCTGGTGGATCCAGTATTAACATCTGTATTAAGCTCTGAAGCATCCTCCTTCAATCTGTAACCTCCTCAAGGTTTGTGTGCCAAAAACCTTGTCCACTTTTTCCAACTACCCTAGCTGTTTTAACATCTATGTACAAATCCAGTTAAACCCAATCTTTAGCACTACTTCTACCAATCCATAACACTGTGTTTTCCAGCTGCTGGTCTAACATCTACGTACAAATCCTGTTTAACCCGTATCTTCAGTGCTACTTCAAAAACGTATTAACTCTCCGTCTGTTTGTAAACTGTTAATGAGCTCTGAGCTGATGTTTTCATAGATCTATTTACTATCCCTCTAAGGTCCTTTTCCAGGGTGGTAACAGCCATTCACAACCTTCGTAGACTGCATATAAATTGAGGATTGCCTTTCTTCATTAATTTCACTTTAAATTCACCACAGCTGTATTTCTTCTGCCATTTTATCATCCAGTACCATGAGATTCTTCTGTAACTCTTTACAATCAGGATTTGTTTTGTGAACTTGAGTAACCTAGTCTTGTCAATGACACGTCACCTTGCTCTCCAGCCTTTTTCTGGACTATTTATGAACATTTTGAACAGTAAGAGCCCTACTGCAAACTCATTTAGACTCCACTGGTGACCTCTCTCCACTGAGAGAACTAAACATTTATTCATATTCTCCATTTCTGATTTTTCAACCACTTAGATACTACAAAGCCTTTAGGAAGGGCTTTGTTAAAAGCCTTTAGGAAGACCCAGGTGGATTACATTTTCATCCCCTTTGCCGAGGGCTACCTTCCTTTACAACACGTTTGCACTGAAGCAAGCAGGCTGAAATGGCCGAGCACAGACCTTGGAGAGAGCTGACAATTAAACTGAGTGACTGTATGGGCGTTCCAGTGCTCAGGCTTGCAGACCCTGACCCTTTTCTGAACAGCACATAGATGTACCCAACACCAGGCACAAGTTCAGTGACTAACAGTTTTGACTCAACAGGTTTGAGCTCCTGACTCTTCCTCGGTATGTTGTATTTCTATATTGTGTTGTTGGTTATGTTTCTATACAGAAATCCTGTTCTTCAGGGCAGTTTCTATGGATGTGACCAGTGAAGACCTCTGTTTTTTCCATTTGCAGTTCCCTGGATACCAGCTGCAATATTACAAGATAAACATTTGCTGTCCTCCATTTCAATGCAAGATGTTTTGAAGGTCAGATCATTTTTAGCTACCTGAATATAAGTGTGAGCATTAAACTATACATTCCCAATCAGGAAATTCAAGGCACAGGCACTTAAAATATTTAAATTAAATATGATCTGGGTACTATCACAAAAAGGTTTCATTTAGCACCATGTAAATTTGGACAAATTAAAATGTTCCGGAATGTAAAACATATTCACAATCTGAGATAATAGAGCTCATTTCCACATCTATGTTTTCCAAGCTCAGTGCTATTCCTGTTATATAGTGTTAAATTATATTTATTTCCTTTCAGTATCTGTTACTTCTCGTATTTACATTAGCTATTAAAGCAGCTAATTGATATCTGTTTATTCATGTGAATTTTGCTCTGCAACCTTGTGTCTTTATGCATAAGCTATCCAAATGAGGCAGGCTAGCATCAGCCTGGGCTTGTCAGACAGGAAAAAAAACTTCATAAAATTGACCAGTGTGTTTATGGATTTATTCTCTTAGTGTTCATAATTTTGGTCAGAAAGCAGCATTGTTTGGCCATATTATTCAGTCTAGCTTTTTTAGCTGATTTTAAAAATCCAGGAAATCCAAGCGCTTATTGTTCAAACACTGAAGAAATTCAAATACTACCTTTAGTTAAGAAAAGAAAACCTAATCTAAATAAGCTGTATTGAAGAAATTTCTGCTTCGTTGCTGATATTTATGGTATTACAGGGTATTGATTAATTTTAAGGATTACCAGTAAATGCGCTAGGGCTTACTTGTGCTGTCTCGCTCCTCTGTGCATGTTTCCCACCTGCTTATTTCCTATCCGGGAGCAGAAATAGCTCTACTAGAACAGGTCTTCTAAATGCATAAATTCTTTCCCCTTACCTCAAAGAAAAAACCAAAACCAAAACCAAAACCAAAACGAAACCAACATAATGCAATTGCAATAGATATTATCAGTATGATAAATGCTTTTTATACTGCTCATGGTTTCAAATGAAATTACTTTTATAAGCTGCATCAAATTTCCTTCCTATTACACCAAATCATGTCACTACGGTACTTTAGATGACCTACTGTGTATTTCTGTGCTTGAATGCGTTTAAGTCTGGTTTTAATGTAACAGGAAGTCTGATTTTCCCTGATACAATATTTGGTCTTTTTAGAATTTTCAACTTCTTTTCCCATATATATCAATTTATGTCAGTGTTGAGGAGAAAGATACTGATATTAAAAAAAGCTGGCAAGAGCATGCAATAACACATAATGAGATGACTGAAAGTTCTGTAAACAAGCAGCTTTGAAAGACCAAAATGCCTGTTTCCAAATCATGCCAGGCAGGAAGTTCTAGTTAATGCTCCCTGAATAGCTTCATGAATTCAGAGCAGGAGAAAATATTTTAAGTAATTTCTATGTTAAAGATCTCAGTAAATAACAAAGTTTCATAAACCATATTGGCTGATGATATTTCTCCAGGAGCTGACATGAGATACACACAGAGAAATCAAGATGAGGGAACAAGAAAAGTGATAGCATGCTAATGGTGCAGCAAAGTGACAAAAATCTCAGCTATTTATCTTTTAAAATCTAAGGATGAATATTTGGTGTAAGACCAAGAGTACCAAAATCAAAAATGAAACAGTTCATGTTCTTTTTCTTTGCATAACTATAAAAAGAATCAAGAAAGATATGTTAGCCAGCTCTGGCTTGACAAAGCATCATAATCAAGGAACATACAACACGGGAAAAGATTTGAATACTCAAATTTTCATTCTGGTTCAGTATACATAAGTATATTTCTAAGAAATTTCCTCATATTAACCCATAGCTGCTTGAACAAAAGCTGAAGAGGAGAACAAGGTGGAGCTAAAGAAAGTGCAAGCTGTAACACAGATGCTTTTCAAACAGACAGACAGGTAGATCTGAGATGTTTAAGCATAGCTGATCTGTACCTGAATACCTACATGAGTTCTTTGTTTTGCTGCAAGGTGCATCTCTGAAGATTTGTATGAGACATTACAGCAATAGCATGTCAAAAGGACATGAGGAAGAGTATGAAGAAAACTTTTCTTCCTCTCATTGTTTCTGCCTACCTCTAAAGTTCTGTTAAGTTTCATCAGTCGGTATACAAAGAAAAATTCTTTGGCCCTGGTAGGAGCAACAGCTAAACTCAGTTTCCAGAAGGGAAGTATGAAACTGTCATTTAAATTATCTTACATTATCGCCAGAAGAGATGCCAGTTGAAGAAAATATTCCAAGGACACCTACCCTGCAGTAAATCATTTATGCACTGCAGATAAGAAAAACAAATAAACAAAAGGCTGCTTACTCCATCTGCTAGCTAATTCTCAGAGATAGACATTATAGTTGAGGAACATCTAATAGAGACTGAATGGAGATAGCACCATAAAACTGATATAAGAGGATTCACTGTAGGAGGGCAGGGGGGAAGGGGTATCACATCCACAGGGTATTCTAATGTTCGAAGCAGAGCATTCTCCATGCGTATAGAGAGAGAGCAGAAAAATCTACCATGTCAAGACAGTGATTGATATCTTTTTCCCCTCTTCTGCTTTGAGAAAAACAAACATCTCATCAGTGAATTTGTGAAAATCAAACTCCCATGTGTCACATAAAAGGAAGGAGTAGCACTATCTGAAATGCGCTTCTAGGGACTGCCTACACTAAGACATCAAATAAAAAAAATAAATGGTCTAAGTCTCAGCCTAAGTGAAAATGCCCCTATTGCTTCTTCCCAGTGATGGTGCACAATTGGTCTGCAGTACACTACAAGATTAAGCACCACTTTTGTAATAAGCAGAAGTCGGATGGCAAAATCCATTTAAAATGCAGGAATTACTGCAGTGATTTCAGCAATCTTTGGGTATGGTACATCTTGCAACATCGATGCTTGAACTGGCAACAGTTTGCTCCCCACAAAAAGTACAAAGACACGCTTTCAACTGTATTCTCTAGTCACAACAACACAAACAAGTTCTGTGTATGTGATCTCCAAATACCTTGATTAACTTTGCTTACTGAAAATCTAATCCATTGCTCACTGATGTCATGAAGGTTTGCATTAGGGTCCAAGCGCTTCAGACAGAGTGGGGCAATGAATTGACTTTCACTGTAAAGAATAGATGGGCTGGGATTTACAAACTGCATTAGGATGTTTGGACAAACAACATCAAAAGCCTAAACACACAGTGACAAAACCATTTGAGGGTCCCATGGTGCAAAACTAATTTCAGCAAGAAGTGCATGGTCAGGACTAGGGCTGGAATTCCAGTCAGACACAGCAACTCATGTAGGCCCCACATAATTATTCTTTTCTCCAGTGGGTGACTTTAACGATACTGTGACATTCCAATTTAAGAAATTAAAAATACACAGAGTTATACTGAATGCATGATGGGGGTCCTAGCCAAATCCTGAGGAATTCAATTGCCACTTCTATTCTAATCACATGGCTGGTGCCTCTAAATCAGAAATGCTAGGAAGTCTAATGTCCCTTATGAAAGACAAAATTGGTGAGGCTACCATTAATGGCTAGTCTTGGTACCAGCTTAGCCCCATCCATGCAGTGTATCCACGAGATATGTGGGCTATTATTGTTAGTTCCCACCTACCCATCACTTCTGAAACTGCCACTTGTAAACACGATTCAGGAAGACTGATCCCCACCAACACTCAGATTACATAAAGGCTTTGATTACACTGAAATGAGAATGGTAACATTTTCCCCCCTACATCTCTGGCTTAAAGATTTTCATTGAAAGAATAAAGTCCCTTTTATTTTGTTTTTTATTTTTGTTCACATTCCCTGACACCAAATCACTAAAAGGTCATGAATGTACAGAGAATCACTTTCTAGAGCCAGAGTCCGGGGGTACTGGTTCCCTGGAGAGAAGGACAGATGTGCGCTTCTGGTTTGTTCTTGCACAGCTGGTACACTGGTTTGACGTTGCCAGCAGGCATGTCTTGCAGGGCTGCCTGTAACACCTTGGTGTCCACTGAGCTCTGCCTCCAAGGCACGTCAGAATGTGTCACACTTTCCACAGATCAGGGACATGAGGGTGGCACAAGCAGCCAAGCTGGTGGGTCCAGCTGCAGCACAGAGCAACCATTAAGGAGCACACCTAAGCACCCAAGCATGTGTTTGGAGGAGGCAGGCACATGCAGCTCAAGCAGCGATTCCCTCACAGTTAACTTTTTCTTGTAAAGAACACAATCAGAGTCAGGCTTTTGTTTTAAAGAGATTCTTCTTGCCATCTGAGAAAGGTTAAGGAAAAGAAAGCGAGAGCAGAGTACAAGAAAGGAAGTAAAGAGAGAGAAAAGGACAGAAGAGCCAAGAACTTGCCTATTCTTTGTTCTCAAGTAGTTTTTTCTTTGGTTGGTTAGTTTGTTTTTTTTATTACTTCTGCTTAATGTACATACACATGTAAGTGCTTTAGCACTTATATGCCTTGGCTTGTATCAGGTCACCATTATGCCAGGCATTGTACCCATACATAGTAATAAATCCCTGGCCTAAAAGCTTACTGCTTAATCAAGCAAGACAGAATTTGGATTTAAATGGATTTAAAGCAGTATTATCACCTCCACTCTCCAGACAGGAAAAAAGACAAAGGGAAATCAATAGACTTGACCAGGGCAAAGGTAACTAGGAAAGAAACACAAACTCACTGAGTCCCAGCCCTGCAGCCCCCACCCATGGGGCCCCCATGACCACAGCAGAGCTTGCACACTGGTTGCTTCAACAGGGGCTAGTTTTTGCTGACTAGCCATTATCTTCTACCTTTCTGAAAAGATTATTTTTTTAGAGGTACTTCATTTTTGCCTAACCTATTCATTTCTTAATAACATATTGTCCTTAAAAAAAAGAGTTGAACATTGTCAGCAGTAAAAAACTCTAAAAGGCTTCAGGATGGTTGAATTAAGCATGATTCTACAAAGTGATCAGATAGATACTTCTCAGTGAAGAATTCTGCTTCACCTGATGGCAAAATTAGGCAACTGGGGGA